CAAGCAAATTGTTTTAGATTTAATAAATATATATTATAAATTTTATAAAAATTAAATTAGTAATTATAAAAATATTAAAATTCAAAGTTTAGTAATTAAATTATTTATTATATAATTTTTATTCAAATTTTATATAATAAAATTTAATTCAAAAAGTTTATTATTAGTAAAAGTTTTTTTATAAAAGATATATAATAAAAATTTAAATAAATTCTAATATTTAATAACTTAATTAAGTAAGATAGAATTAAAAATTTTATTTTAAAAAAATAATTTATTAATATATATCAAACTTTTTATAATAAATTATATTATATAAAACAAGAATTAATTTAAAATATAATATATTAAAGAAATATATTAAAAAAATAATATAAAAATAATTTTAATTATATTCTTAATAAATTAATATTTATTATTATATATTTTTTTAATTAAAGATTTTTAATCTTATTTTAACTAATTATATTATAAATATATTTATTACTTATCTTTAATTTATATAATTTCAGTATAATATTATATATTTAATTATATTATAAATTTTTTTATTTAATAATAATAATTAGAATTTAAAATTATAAATATTGATATTATAAAATAATAATAGATTAAATATATTTCTGAATTTAAATTAATATAATAAAATACAATTAAATCATCACAAATAATAAAATGATTATCTATTTTCTGATTTAAATTCATTAAATATCTCTGAAATGAGAAGAATTCAACTTATATATATAAAAGTCTTTCAAATATGGATAATTATTAATCAAAAGTATGATTAAGTAAATCAATGATATAGCTAAAAGGTAATTTGCGTAATGTTATAAGTTTTTAATCATTAGTTAGTTAAAAAACGCATCGTATAGATCTTTAATTTTTTTTTTGATATCTTAGTGGATTTTTAAAGATTTAGCGAATAATAATATATGAAGCCTAACGCTAAATTTATTTATAAATTTGTGATGCACTTTGACAGTCACAGTAATATATTTATAAATTTATTTATTCAATTTCTTGAATCTCAATTCTAAAAATTAAAAGAAAACTTAAATTAACCAGCTAACATACAAGAATGGAATGAAAAACAAAATACCTAATTCCTTGGAGTAATCATCCAACTCTATGGTCACTTTTTCTAAATAATCAACTTGCTCGCAAATTTCATCAATTTGCTGAATATAAGGCTCAAAATCAATATCTAATCAAGATAAAATGTTAAAAGTAAACTGCGTAAACATGGAATAACAACAGAACAAAAATACGTACAAATCCTTTGTAATTTCGACATTTCAACCATTAAATTTTGTGCCATGCCAGACATCTCTTTATATCGATCACGTGTAACATGATTCATGTTTTCCAGTAATTTGAAATCTTCGGTGGTTGCTAAATTAATGTCAAGAGAATTTGAACTTGCATTAATTAATTAGGTAATACATGTTACTCTCCTTTAATATATTCACCTAACATTTCAGTTTTCAAATAATTTGCCACTTTAGCAAACATTTCTTCTGTAAGTTTATTGACTTCTTTAATTTTGTTAGACTCATCTGTAACATTAGGACCTCGAGTAGGTGCTATTTCTGTATGAATTGAAGTATGTGTAGCTATCGTACTTCGACGTGCACGTGTAGGTGTTGCAGGCTGTTGTTGCTGAAATGTATTAGAGCTATTAGTGGGAGGTGAAGTGGAACTTGTTAACGGTAAGACGCTTGAAGTTAGAAAGGAGAAAGTAGAAGAAAGCGCTGAAGTAGTTGAAGCAAGAGTAGAAGTCACGCTAGTCGTTGGTGTATTGGCATTTAGATTTGTATTTGGATTTGGATTTGTATTTGGTGTCGACATTATGTTTATATTTAGTTGATAAAACCGTAAAAATTATACAGTTATTGGCTAATTAATAAATTTGCCATCGCATCCAATAAATAAAGGTCTCGTGAGACGATTCTAAATTATAACACAAATTCAAATTCCGACTTTATTTGCGAATTGACGTTCATGAGACATAGCTCGCTAAAGAAAAAAAAGTGAAAAGAATTAGTAAATAATTGATCAAAAATTCACACATCCACTATCGCCAGCTTTTCTCTTTAAATAGTAATATTTCATGTCACATACATTGATATTTGGCAAGTATCTGAGCAGAAGCTTTAGCGTCATAAAATAATTCATCCACTTCTTTAATATCCTCCAAGAGGATTTGTTCACGTCCATGTGTACGTGCAAGTATACTTGCAGGTGTGAGGAGTTGTATCACGTAACTTTTAAAAGAAAACAATTATTATTGAAATAAAACTAGTACATGAAAATTCTAATTAATCTTACCGCAAAGATGTTTTTTCTCCTGTTGCTGCCATATCATTTAAAACATCATCTGTTAATGTAAGTCCTTCAGTTTTTGCGCGTATCTGAACAATCGCCCTTATATCCTCCTGTGAGTAGGGTAACGTACGGATAATTAGAATGCGATCAAGTAAATCAGTAGGGATACCATGAGGTGCGATAATATCTTCTGTTCCCCTAATAGAAGCAATTTATAATTTAAAAAAATTTCACAAAAAAGCTTTGATACTATTATTAATCAATATACCTGACTTGACACATTCCACGATTTGTTGCAAATATAACTATTGGTGATATAGGAGATTCCAGAGCCTTGTTTAAATAAGTGAAGCATTCGATGTCAAGTAAATGAACCTTGATCAAAAAATTTGAGTATAGAGTTTAATGCTTAACTCGTATTAAAAAAAATACGTAAATTTTTAAAAAAAATATTAAACCTCATCAATAAATAAAACCCCTGGCACTAATTCCGCTATACCCTGATCGATATATTTATTGACAACTTTATTAATTTCTTTTCGAAGCTTATCAGTAATTTCGGTCTTTTTCGGTTTCATTAATTGACCCATCATTGACATTATATCTTGTCCTCCCTAATGAATAATATTTATTGAATATATTAATAATAATAATAATAATAATAATAATAATAATAATAATAATAATAATAATAATAATAATAATAATAATAAT